GTTTTGAATTATTATTTATTTATTTTAAAATAAGTAATGTATTATTTTGATATTAAATTAACATATTATATAAACCTATATATTGTATTATATGGTCCACTTATAGGTTATAATTAAATCGATCATAAGCATATTGTTGTGTATATACTAACCTAACCTCATGTTAATAACATATTATTTCACATTTATATCAAATTTTTATTACAATTTCCGATTATATAGTATTTAAAATTGTAATACTTTTTTTTCGGTACAATAAAATCTTTAGTGAAAAGAAAATGTATAGGTTTAATATTCCCCCAGATGCCTCCTTCTCATATAGACCTATAAGCCTCCTTTCAACACTCTCCAAAATTCTTGAAAAAATAATTTAAAAAATAATTTACCCGATACTAAATGAGAAAAAAATTATCCCAAACGCGCAATTTGGCTTTAGAAATAAGCGTTCTTCTTTACATCAACTACACAGGATAGTCGATAACATTGCCTCATCACTAGAGAAAAAAAAAAATTGTTCTGGCACTTTTCTTGACATTGCCCAGGCATTTGACCGGGTTTGGCATGGAGGATTAATGTTCAAGCTTCTATTCTTACCTACCCCACTATACCTTACTCTCAAATCTTTCCTATCAAACCGAACCTTTGCAGTAAGATGTGAAGACGAAATCTCCATCTCTCATCTTGTAAAAGCTGGCGTTACCCAAAGTAATATCCTCTACCTGACTCTTTACAATATATTCACAGATGACCTACCACAGTACAACAAAACCACCCTAGCTACTTTTGCAGACGATACAGCCATAATATCATCTAACTCTGACATAAACGCTGCCAAAAATAACCTTCAAAACCACCTTAATCAACTACAAGATTGATTTAATTTATGGAAAATTAAAATAAATGAATCCAAATTCACCTACATCACATTTATTTTCAGCACTAAAAATATTCTTTCTATTTACCTCAATAACCAGCGCATTTCATGTACGACTCTGTTAAATACCTAGGTCTCCTTCTTGACAAAAAACTAACCTGGGTAAACCATATTAAGGAAAAAATCTTCACTTAACTTCAAATTTCACAAATTAAGACTATTATTGCGATCCAAAATCTATTTAGATAACAAATTGTTAATATACAAACAAATGTTACGCCCAGCATCCAACTTCAGGAAGCCTCTAAAAATTTAAATATAAACGAATTTCAAGCATTCCAATCAATAACCCTTCGTGTCCTTTCTAATGCCCCCTGGTATGTTAGTAATTGTACTTTACACTACGACCTCAACCTACCAACAACAATAACAATTGCTTCTTACCACTATAATAAATTTCATAAAAACTCCCTTAACCACACCAACCCTCTCATATCTAAGCTATCCTCTCGTACATTACCAGACAACTCACCCTGTCGTTTCAAACGTAAATGGCTACGTGATATATTAACCAATATCTAAACCAACAATATACAAACAACCCTTTATAAGTTCAAATTGGAAGTAGTGTCGATGGAAGCCCTCTTCCCTTAAGTCACCATGTCAAAAATCTTTTAAGCCATTTACTTACTGTGTAACTATATATACAGATTGTAAATATTTTTTAAACCAGTAATAAAAAAAAAAAAAAGGTATAATACTCGTATTTAACTTAAATTATCTACCATACATTTATTGAGGTAGGAACATAGTTTATGTTTGCCATACGTTAGAAAAGCAATATAATGATCGAAAAAATTACCTTTAAAATATCTTAAGTACCAAACAGGTGAAATTTATAATCAATATAGATAAAGTTTACGGTATTTACATTTTATAAAAATGTTTTTGAGAACATTCTTTTTATTAGTGAACATTTCAACCAATAAAAATAACTCATTCAAAAACCTTTTTCATTTTAAGACTATTACATGATATATTTGACCACATCACTTTTATTAGAGTCTAAAAAGAGAATTATTTAAAAACTGTCAATTTTTTTTTGTAATTTTAACTTTATAATTTAAATATTCAAAAACAAATATTTATCAAAATGATTGAGATTTAAGATATATTATAAGAATTATTCCGGTGTGTCTGAACGCAGTAAATTAACTCTAAGATTGGGTAGTAATATCACATTTTAAATTACCAAGTTGGGTAAACATTTGAACTTTAAAAATTGTAAATAAAATACTGAATTCTCATATTTTCAGATAAAGTTAAAGAACAGGGTTTTGGGATATATTTTTTTAAGCGGAATGAATTAAAAATACATTTTGAAACATCAAGCAAAAATTGTTTGGAAGGGGTAAATATGTAATAAGATTGAAAAGATAAAAAAAATAATTTTATTACTATTTTATTAAACTATTTCACCTTAATTATATTATTGGAAAAAATCATTGTTTTATTTTTATTGCATTTAATTGATTTTATCACAATATAAAGATATACATTTTTAGTTGGAATCTTGGAGTTCAAAATTAAAATCAGATTGTTAAGTTGATTCAAAAAACTTGAAATATATCCAAAATATAAAGTATTAATTAGTATAATATCATACAATATTTTATTTTCTATATTGATTTTTAGTTAAGTGACTCATATTTACAATAATGGTTGTATAAATTTAATAGTAATAAAAAAAACGAAAATTAAAATTAGAATATTATCTTGCTTATTATTTAATTGCAAATCTGCAATGAATTGGCAAAAATATCAAGTCTCCGTGATTGTTATATACTAGTTGATTAAAATGTAACATAAGGAACAAAAATCTATTTTACAATTTCATCGAACCATATTATAACATATTACGTAAATTATAAATACATGTGGTATTATAAAGGTTCTAGATATTTATGCAAAACCAAGTATGTAATACAACATTAATTCAGTTACATTTAAATGATCGTGATTATAGTTTAATTTTAAATTAATATACAACGAATGATCATTATTCTTAGCTTATTATAGGTATAATAATTATTGTTTATCCTGGTTTAGCGAATAACTCAGGTATTCCCATTTTTTATTTCACTTAGTTTTAAGTTTAGAAATTTATGATTTATTTATAGAGCTTATTTTTAATGTCCTGAAAGTTAAGATATAGATATAATGTTTTTAGATATTCAGAAATATATTATTATTTAGTAGGTACCTACATCTACATGAATTTAAATTTCTATACACTTTTTATTTAAATTATACTGTTTATAATAATGATATACTATTAGATAAAATATAATATAATATTAAAAATATTTTGAAGACTGTTAAATGTAGTTGCGTTTTATATCATCGACCGCATTGAACTATATTGGTTTTAAAGTGGTATTTATAACTATTATGTATAGGTACATTTTATGTACTCGTATAATATATAAAATATATTTTATTTAGATAATTTATGTACTTAAAAAATAATTAATTAATATTTTATACTTATTTAAATTTCCTTTTTAATTTAAGACAAATAATCTAAAATTAAGGTATACTATATTATCAGTCTTGTAAAAGGTAGTATTTAAAATACGTATTTTAATGCTTAGTAAAAAAAAGTAGCAAGTGTAAATATAAATATTTAATTTAAACATCTACAATAAATAAAATTATATTTTAAAAATATGTTATTCCACGATATTATGCTTAAAATTATTATTCTTATTTTGAATATTTTTTATAAAAGCTAACGTCTACGGTCAACAGTTAAAACATCAACATTCAGCAGTTGACAATGTAGTACAGGATACGGTCTTTGAAATCAAATTATTATACTACTATATTATATTATTGAAAATTTTTACATAGATTATTTTTAATTCAAATTACATATCAATCTAAATTTTTTATTTGACGTGATTGAATTGAAAATAAAAAATATGCGAACTGAAATAAAATAATAGTAGGTATTTAAAAATTTGTATTTAATTTTAAATACAGATGTCTTAAGAAATTAGTAAGTACATACTTTAAAATATTTGAATACTTTAACTTAAGTTTTTTCTAACATATATTATTTTCATGAAATACTAAGTACCTACCAATATGTATTTTGGTTCTTATATTATATGATTAATAGTTGTTTAACGTAACGTCATGTGTATATTGGTACAAATGAGTTTTAACTTTTTACAAAATATTAACTATATTAATATTTGGTTCTTATTACCAACTTCAAACAAATAATAGATATATGAAATATATTAACTAACAATTACTGTGATTCGGTTTTTTAATTTGTTTTTTTATAGTTTATTTTTGTTAAAAAATTTGTATATACATTTTAGTTATCAATAGTTTAGCAATTATATCAATATCGTTTAATGTATTTTTATTACAATTAAAAACGTTAGGTAACATAAATTCTTAAACACCTTAATTTAATTAATTATGTTATATATAACATGTATATTATGCGATTGAAGTCAATGAATTAAAATTTTTTTTATGTGTTTTCCGTTTATTACATTTTGCACAAAACATCATTGGTATATTATATTTAATATTTTCTATACTTGTTTAATAATAAAACAATTATAAATATTTGTTGCATAAACTTTATTGAAGAAGTTTGACAATTAATTAACTCAATTTAGCTCTAGTATTTAAATCGTAATGGTCGAAGTAAAATCAATAACCTTGAACTTTGAATGAAAAAGGTACATGGTTTATTTTTATTTCATAGTTTCATTAAAATATATCAAAAGTTATATCGATTAGGATAATTAATGCCTAATGGTATACAATATTATTACCTATGTACTAAGTATTTAGTATATATTATATAATACCGTAATGATTCGCAAGGTTAAGGATCAAATCTGCATTGGTCTACAAACTACGTAATAGATTTAGTTCGTAATTCGCAACAGCCGTTTATTAAATTACATCATACATTGTTTTAATAATAATAGTAATGATATTAATAATAATAATAATAATAATAATAATAAAATGTAATATTAATATTATAGTTATAATAATAAAATAGTGCGTTTAGTAATAATATTTTAATGTTTATATACGTAAACTTATCGATATATATATATTAATTATTTTTGTGTAAAAAATTATACTGACACATATACTTAAACATTGTGAGTTGCTTAAACGACATGTTTACACGGTACAAAACATTCGTCAATAGTTATAATTGTCAAAAAATAATTATAAAAAAAAAAAAAAAAAAATTAAAAAAAAAATACCTTATAGAATACAGTGGAACATTTTTTGTTCGTATAAAAATGTAAAAGTATACGATATGACGATTACAAATCTGAATATTTTCAAGCAAAGTTCGTCGGATACAAAACAATCATTACAGTAATCGATCAGACAGTCCGTTTAAAATTATTGCATACGGACGTCAATGGAAGGATCCTCTGGGTAGCTAGTGTTTTCGGTTATTGACGATGTCGTGTCTACGCTGGCAGATTCGTTGCTGTTAACGTTTTCGGGAATTACCGCCGCGGTGTCGTCTAGTATCGTGATGTCATCGCCGCCGTATCCTTCTTCCGTTTCTCCTTGGGGTACGTTCACCGTCGAGGTCACCGGAATGTAACCCGAATAATCGGTTTCCGCGGTGGTCGTCGGTGTCTCGGTGGTAGTGGTGGGTTTCACCAACCCCAGTTTGTTCTTCACCCAATGAATGACGCCCCCGCCGTGAGTACAGTTGTCGTGAGATTTGACGATTTTCGCTTGAACTTTCTTCAGCCAACCGTGGATACCGGGTTTCACCGTCGATCCGGTCGTTTCTTCGGCCGCGGTTTCTGCGGTCGGATGTCCGATAGCCGAAACGGCCAGCAAAGTGACGGCCAATAAGGCTAATACCTGTAAAAGCGGGAAATTCGTTAATATACACAATATGCATGGCACGTCGTAAATCATTTGGCGCAGTGGTCCGTGTAAAAATCGTCTAAAAAGGTGGAGGGTTGAAAATTATTTTCTCGTTACACTCTACGCACCAGATTTAATTAATTCCTTAAATTTATATATATTTTTTTTTTAATCTTATTTAATATGCTAATTCGGTTATGTTATTACTATAGATATAATCGACAATAATTAAAAATACATCATGGACCAACTTTTAAGCTTGCGTGAACGTGTGTGTGTGTGTGTATGGCGTGGGGGGAGGGTAGTGTATATCCTTCATATTCGCAACTGATTAGGTGTATAACGCACACTATGTACATACATGACGTATTTAGACATATATGTTTATATATGATATTAATGAAAATTATTGAAGGTTGAAGCGATACCATGGATAATATTATTTTTAATATCGTACAGTGCGAGTTTTTTTGTAAAAACCCAATTATTACGATTATAATATGATGGTCAGTAAAATTACTAATCGTTAGGACTATATCAAGGTTCTACTGAATATTTAAGAGTTTTTTAAAACTGAATTTTAAATATAATATAAATAATATTTTTATGCACAATGTATTCGGTATTTTTTAATGTAAATTCCAAGGTCAGATCTATTTGATTTTAATATGTGTGGGAATTCATATTTATAAGATTCGTAAAACAAATAACGTCATTCAAACCGGCATTACGTTTTAATTTTAAACAATCAAAGTAATTGTACGTCTTAATGGTATGTATAAACTATAAAGATAATGTAACTGTGATATCTTTATGATAATCTAATTAATCAGAATTTTTGCTTATGAATTTATAGTGTTTAGTCAATTAAAAATAAAAACTAGCAAAGCAATTTGTGAAAGTCTGCCTATCGTTCATTTTGTTCGGTTATAATTTGTAAGTTCACTGAAGTGAAGCCCTACATTAATTGCTTATTTTAATTTCTCTAGGGTGTAAAATAATCACACGAGTATAATGGAACTTTTGCTACGACTTTTTCTTAGTTTTGATTCCGATGGTTGTTGATATTGTAAATAACTCGTTTAAACAATAACTAATACAATTATTATTATAATAAAAATTGTTCATAATTAATAATAATATATTGTATTGATAAAAAATAAATTATTTGTTGTTATTTGTTCTATAAATTTAATTTACATCAATATATTATAATTTATAAGCGTTTAAAATCGAATCGGCTTTCAAATATAAGTAGATAAAAATAGGTATTTAAAAAAATGCATTTCCATTTATTGTAATTAGTGATTACATTTGTTATTGAATATTATTGCTTTTTTATGTAGTCAAAGTTTATTAATAATTCATACTTTGTGATCTCTGTTATCTTATCATCGTGATTTTAAAATAATAAATATTTTTTTAAATGCTAGAAGAAATATTATAATCGAGTGAAGTTTGCGCATATTATTGCAAAATTAATAATTATGATTATAAATTTATTTCCACGTGCAATTTCTTGGTTAATAATGAATAAAGATCATACAAATTATTTTGTTTAAATATTTGAATCATTTTGTTGTTGTAAGAAACCAATATTAAACCGGTTAAACCTTACCCATTTTTATAATGAAACTGATTTAACTTTGTTTAAGAGTGTTTAAAATATAATTATTATACTCATGATGTATTAATACATAGACTGTTATTATAAGTATGATATTTTGATATTATTTTATTAAATTTATTAATTAATTTTAACAATTGAAGATATAGTGTGATATTAATTAAATTAAATGTACTCTTATAAGTCACCGTAAATATAGGGAAGATATAATTAAAATAATAAATCAAAAGGAATAATATAAAATATATTCATATTTTAGGTATTTTTTTGGTTTGTAAATTTGCATACAATTTATTCAACAAGCTGTATCCAATATTTATTATAAACAGAATTCGAAAGGAAATTACAAGAAAATATATTCATTTTATAATTTATTTTATTAAAACTAAATTTATTTACCACTTGTTACAGAGTTATATTCTATAACAAGTCGTTCTAATATATTTAAAGTATTTTATCTTATAGTATGTGGTATACGGTTCATGTACTAAGTTTCCCTTTTGAAGTTTTATACAAAAGCTAGAGAAAGTCTCATATAATATAAGACGTGATCGTATTTAACTTATCTTTTGATATTCCTATATTTATTTATTGCTCTACATTAGTAAAAATATTTATATATTATATAATATAAATGAGTGTTTATAATAATTATAATAAAATTCTTATTTAATAGTTACAAATATTCAAAGAACGGAAAGTGTTTCTGTTTTACATTTTCATTTTTAATTATTCATTTGGTGATAATATTTTTAAATTAATTAGCAAAATTATACAGTATATATATTTCAACGTAACTTATTTGAATCATGAACAAATTAATTATTGAAAATTTTATTTATTTCAATTTCACTATCAATAAAATAAGTATTTAAACGATTATTTCAGTTGTTTAAGTAATAATTTATGACTTTATTTATTTGGTGTAAATAATTAAGTTAATATAAAGTTATTTTCTCAATTTTATTTTTCTTAATAGAGATATTTGCTTATTATCTTACTAGGTATTTAAAAAGCTTGAATTTTAGTTCAATATTCAGTAATTTATGCTTTCTACCGCATGATAAACATTTTTTTTTTTTTTTGAAATATTAAATTTAAAAATTGGTTTTATCAATTTTAATTATTGGGTATGTTCATATTATACAATTAAAAATTTTTAATATCATTCATTTTTGTAACTCTGTCAGTTAATAGCATAATACATTTTTGGATTATAAAAATGTTCTAAAATATATTTTATTTTTTAAATTAAATAGTACTAAAATAGACGATTACACTTTATCGAATTAATATAACATTTTTGATTGTAAACAATAATATAATAATATACGAATACCGTGTAATACTGTAACATGGATAATGAAAATTATAGAATATCATTTTTTCAAAACCATATTACTTGAATTAGTTTAATAAACATTTTAAATTAATTTCTTAAAAGTATTTTACTAAACTACAAAAAAACATAAATTAAATTGTACACTTACGGCAAATTTGTTGAACATCATATTATTATTGTTGTGTGAGAAATTAAAGACTACTGAACTGCTGGTCTTAATAATTAACTGTATGGCTGTTTGCGAACTGTTATTAACCAGCAAAGAACGTAGTCTTTTTTATAATTACCAACTACCGCATGCTCTGCCCTCTCGTCCTACACTTTGGGCCAATCCCATCCACCACTCTATCAATATTATGCGTATCACCGTTTACTGTTACGCATACAAATTTCCCACACGCAATTACACACACACTCACACACACATACCACACACATACACATACATAGATGCACAAAAATAACGAATTATTTTACGATTTAATAACGAAATAGTTTAATCATAGGTTTATTAACACAAAATGTTAGATTACAATAAAATGTTTTTTTATGCACGTGTATATTTTGTAAAAATTGCGGCTGGAGGAGGGCTACGGGGCTTAAGCTTACGATTTTTTTTCATAGTTTTAAAGGTTTGTTAAGGAAATTTGTTGTGCAGAATAAAAAATGTATTGTTAAATTATATTCGACTACTTTTCTTTACCAAAAACCGTTCAAACACGATGACATAGAGATATCAATCACATAATTAATTAACACAGTGAGGAAATATTAAGTACATTTGCGACTGCCCAAAATATCCACAACACTTACCTGTTGGCTCACATTATATTTTCATCGGTTTTTAATAGTATCCTTTTCTTCCACTAAACCCGGAATGTTGACCATGTGTCGTCAACGTATGACCGTATCCATTTGAGGCCGTATAAAGTGGACTGGAAATATGTGGTCTCGACACATTAGAATGGAATCGCTTGGAACCCTTTAAACAAGCATTTCAAAATTTTATGTCGGTCGTCATTAATCCGGAATTTCGTGTACCATTGCTGCATATAGGTAGGTATTAATAATCATAGATAAATAATATTATTCTACTACAACGTAGGTCGTTTAATAACATTTTATACATCATACATTATTGTTTTATTATAGGTACCTATAGGTACAAAGTACTTGCCGATCGAATGTATTTTCAAGTCTCATTTATTTTCATTTAATTTTTCTTATACTAATAGGTACCTGACGATAGAAAAAAAGTATTGGTTTTATCGTTTTTATTGCCGTAAAAGTGTAGGTAGTGTTTACTACAGTATATAGACCAGTTTTATTAATTAACGTATAGTTAATAAAAAATACATTTTATAAAGAATGATGGATGTGAATTATAGCAGTAATTTCGTTTCGAGTGGTAATCGGGATGAATTAGGCTTGTAGCAGATACAGATATATTTTCGTTTGTTGTGTCGATGACTGTGATAGTCGGTAAAAATTTTAAATATTGCGTTTCAGAAAAAAATCATTGTAAAAATCCAATGATACGTAGTAAACATTAATGAGTAGGTATATAACGTTAAACTTTGACCTGATATAAACGATAAGAATTCAAAAAGATAAGCCTTCATTTAACAATTCATATGCCATTACTGAATTGTTTATTTTGTTTTTAAATTATTTAAACACTATTAGTTTTTGTTGTTGTATTATACGTCTTCAATTACTAAAATAAATATCAAAATCAAGTTAGTCTGGTCTTAGAGCTATATACAGTCGATAATATAATCGCGAGACATTAAAAATGCAAAAATATAATTTATTATCTATAAACTAATTCAAATATTAGCGATTGTGAGTAAGTTCAGTTGATAAATATCATTGTACATAACTTCGAATTGGGTTTGATAAAATTTTGTTGTGTCATAGTTTTTTTTCACGCATGCTTTGAAATGTTTTTAATTTTAATTTTTGATATAATATTACTCATATATATATACATATATTTTGTTTAAATCAAGTTGATAAAAATATTTATATACATTTTTTTAAACATTTTTATGCTATATTCTTCGTTATGAAGTTGAATATAGTTGTTTTTTAACATGGAAACGTATTATTTAAACTGTGACTTTTTTGCATAAAATCTTAATAATAGGCATATTGATCAATATTTGTTTTAGATATAAAATTTTATCAATTAATTTAGTACTTCAAATGAGTACAATATTTAAATTTTCTTGTTAGGTTTCCTAAAAAACAAGGAAAAATAATTTATAAATAATAGAAAAATAATACAAATTGATAGTTTTGTTATTATTTAAAAATTATAGCATTTTAAGTTTGAATTACTTACAATTATGTAAATATTATAGATAAATAATAAACAAGATAATATTGTATATATTTATGAATAAAAGGTTTTGAATTCAGTCATGTGTGATAATTTTAGTGAGTATCAAATTCGAATAATTTATCGGATGAATCATGAATCAATGTTTTATTTTGATTATTCATGTGTATTTATAATTTTATAACTATTATAACTATTAATAATTATAAATTTTAAATAGTTGAATAAATAAATAACATCTTGTTTTGATATAAGAATACATGTTTTTGCTAGATGATATCTCAATTATTTAGATTAAGACGGACGATAAGTTAAACAAAATACATAATGCACAATCAATATATTTTTATACCCATATTAATTTACAATTAAAAAACATGAAAATAATGATTTTGAATGGTATTATACAGAGTGTTAAACTAACTAAAGTGAACCACTGACTTAGCGTATGGTATTCATGTTATCTGTTACACAGTTGTTGGAGCAATGGAAACGATTAGTGAATCATCATATTTCGAAATTTTTATTAATTAATAACATGGTATAATTACCTTAACATTTATAATATTACACTATTGTATATATTTTATATTTGAATTAAAATTGTTTAAATCAAATAAACAGAAGATGTATACCCATTATGTGTTGGTACGTAATTGTTCCTAATTAATGCGAATATTGGATATTCTGCAATAGTATCTAACTTTAAGTAGTGCTATTTCTAGGATTAATATATTTAATTAAATTCAATTGATTAATTTTTTCCTTATTACAGTTGTTAATAACGTTTTTGAATTATATAGGAACTCTGATACTTGCGGTAAATTGGTAGATTACAGTTACAGAACTTCAAACAGCTTTTAGAGAACTAATGACTTTGCTTATGTTTACCTATTCGTAGAACTATTTCAAAAGTCATTATTTTGAGAAACAATAGTTATTAGAAATTTAAAACCGTGAATTTTTATTTTTATTTCTTATTTTGTTACTTTGAGATATCTGTATTTATCTAAGAATTTATGTTAGACGGACAAAAGTCAAATTTCTGTTTGTTAGATTAAACTGAGTTTAATTGCTTAAACTATATATGTAGTTTCTTTAAATACTTTTTACAATATTTATTTAAAACGAAAATGTTTCTTTTTATAAACGAGATACATTATTTTTAATCAATATTTTGTATTACACTATATTTCATAATTTTGATTTTATATTCAAGTGCATCTATAATAATTATTTTCAAATTGAATAGATATAATAATATTTGGTAGTCTTCTTATTTATTAATCATAAAGTAATAGTTATAGATATGTTTGGCTTGTATATTATATCAATAACAGAATAACATTTAATTTATAGTGGTATAATATTACAAATAATAGTTTTTGATATTTTTATATTTAAGAAAATATTCGAGATGTTAGAGCTACCTACTATAATATTTATGAAAAACTTCGTTTAATTTATTCTTGTCATTTATATTCACTATTGAATCTTATCATACTATGGTTAATGATGTAAATACAACAACGGTAATATTGTCTAAATGAGTAGTATGTACAACAAAAATAAACAATTTTTAAACGCACATTATTGTGTGTTTCATATACTTTATTTCCGCTGACGCTTAATATACTGAGTAGATTAAGGAACAGTGGGTTCCATCACAGATATTAAAACTTCTAGCCGAACTTGCAGTATACATCTTTCTTTGCATAGCTATACAACGGTTAATAGTATATTTTTTTTTTACATGTATATTTTTACTTTATTGAAACGGAGATTATGTGAAATATATATAACTGAGAGACGTCGTTTTCATATACATATGTCCTTATATCCTGTCAACCTTTGTGTACCATTAGGTCGATATTCTTTTATATAATGGGCAACTTTGTCAATCCTTCTACCTTTTTGAACCTTCTCTGTTTACTTATACATAGAACCGTTTCTGAATCTCGTTACCAAAATTATCGTGCTTGAGAAATTTAAAATGAATATCTATCCTCCGTGTAATATTTTTGATGGTCGAAGAAAATTATATTTTCTTAATAATGGTTATACAATTATTAAACACTACAACATTCATTATTATTTATATACTATAGATATTCATTTTTAAAGAGCTATAAAAATTATTATTTGTTAAAAATGTGAGGTAATTTCTTTAAGAATTTCGTCGATTGAAAATTCGATTTATAATAATTAGTATTTAAAATAATTTCTTTCTTATACTCCCATCGGTTTTTTTTTAATTTTAAGAAAATCTGTAAGTATAAAATTTAAATCTAGTAAGATGAAAGATTTTTATCGTTTCTTTAAATACTTAAATCATTAACTGAATTTGATTTCGTAAAATAATATATCTTATTAAAATTTTAATTCAAAATAATAAAATTATTATTTTTTTTTTAAATTGGATTAGTTATACAATTGTACATGTATGTAATTGAATTTATTTTAGCTGCTGGTTTGTTTTATTGTCTATTTTTGTAATAAATCATTTAGGCAGGTACTCAAGTAAAATTATTATACATTGACTTTTTATCAATCGAACGGAAATTGAAAACATGAAAAACTCAATTTCGATTCTCATAAGTTATGCGAACGCTGTCGGTGTCTGGTATTATTTTAGAAGTAGCTGCACGTATAGACGTATACCACTGATATTCGTATTTGTATTTCTTCACTTCTTTTAATTTCTTTACAAGTGTTTGTGTCTTGAAAATACTTTATTTACTGTTTTTTTCTTTTTAATTTAATTTTGCTTCAAATGTTTTTTATTGAAACTTCATAGTAATAATTTTACTAAAAAGAAAAAAAATTATCTCAAATATTACTGAACATATTTTTTTTGTAACAACGAGTAAAACTATTGGAAATATTGTTAATATTTTTAGATTAACCAAAGAACGATTTTG